ATTCCCTCACTTCCATGTCTGCCTGTCCATTAAGTAAATAGCACAAGTTTCTCATATGCCAGTGTTTCTCAAATGGTTTCTATCAGAATCTCCCGGACGACTTGTTAAACTAGATAGTTGGGTACCACCCCTACTGGTTCTGATTCAATAGATGTGGGATGGAGCCAGAGAATTTACTTTTCTAACAAGTCTATAGGGGATCTTCTGGTTGCTGGTCCAGGAAGTGCAATCTAATATGCCAGTTTTCCACAGCCAAACAATTAGAAGAGAATTGAGACAATAAATTAATTTTTAAATTCACTGAAGTAGACACAGGGAAAACTTTTTGTAAAAGTAGGATATGTTCATTATGAAGGGATAACCAGAGTAATTGGGGTGGGTGGTCTTGCTTTTGAATAAAATCTGAGATTATTGCCATGACAGTCTACTTTGTTTTGGTTTTGGAAAGCTGACCCTCAAAATATTCACAGGCAAGCATAAAAATTCTCTTTACTTTGATTGAAAACGCAACTGATGACAAAAAGGACAAAGCAACTAACTGTGCATTTCAAGACATTCTAAATAGCTGTCACATATACTGGCATAGAACAAAACTGATCCTTTGAGGGAATAAAAAGTAATTTAAGAGAGAGTTTATAATTCCTAGTTAAGAAGCTGTCTTTAGTTGCTTGATTTCTGAATTTGTGTGAACCACATGCCCTTCTCTGAGCAAAAACTAATTTTCCCATTGAATAAACAATCTTCATTGGCTGCTTGACTCAGACCACTATTGCCTTGGAAAAATAATCCTGATAGCAGGTATTTTTAAATGGCAGGAGAATGGCAGGCTAGATCACACTTAAAAAGAGATGTTAACATGGGAAGTCTTGAAAACAGGTTGGTATATTATAATTTTTTAAAAGATATTTCAGTATAATAGAATTTAGAATTTTCATACAATTTTAGTATGACTTAGGCAGCTCCCAAATTAGAAACATGTTCTATCTAAAAAACTGGAAAGTAGTTTGTTTGGAATTTGGAACAATTTCCAAATGACATTACCATATTTATAACGTTCTGAGGTTTCTAAGAAATTTTAAAATTTCTGAATCCATAGAAAATTTACAAAATCCTTAAGATAACCAAAATTCCAGGTCTTTACTTGGAAAAGGAAGGAAAAAATCTTTCATAATGAAAAGTTTCTATTTGATGGAATGTGAAAGTACACAGTGGGACTGGGTCCTATTTCATTACTAGCTGTGTGGTCTTAGACAATTCATTTACCTTCCCCAATTTCAGTTTCCTCAATAGTAAACAGGTGGTGTTGATTAACAATGTTTAACTTATAAAGTGTTGAAGAGCACTGGAAACAACGCCTGTAAACTTTCCTTCCCTCACAGGGCAGGGTGCTGTCAGTATTGTAACGTAGATTATTCATTTATTAACCATCCACCCTCTATCAGGAAGAATACTAGGAATTTCCATGTTTTCCATTTAATCATCAAAATAATCCTATGTGGTAGGTGTTTCTATTTTCCTTTTTGTAAGTAAAAATCAAAAAAAGGAACTGGTTTAAAATTTTAATAAGAAAAACTAGTCCCTAAGGAAAAAAATAGATTTAAGTAGAAAAGGTTGATAACTCTGGGCCAACATTAGTTATATCATATTTATAACTATTTTCTCACTGATCCTTGCAGCTACCCTATGAGACTGGAATGATTATTTTTTTCCATTTTATACATGAGTATTCTGGTAATCGGCACATTTCAGAGTCTAATCTACAATAGGTATTATGGGACCAGGAATTAAGTGAGAGGGATTCAGGTTTATACAATTGCCGCATCAGTTACAAAGCAGTGGTTTCAGTAGGACAATGTGGGCATAGGATAGAATAGTCTATAGAAAGTGGCCAATGGGAAAGTAAGAGAAAAAGTCAGATGTAATCCATTGGTTGAATGTACCAGATATTCTGAAATTAGGTGTCTGTGATCTAGAAAATGTGTGTACTTGGTGGTAGTAAAATTTGCTGAGACTCTATAACTCTGTACTCAAAAATTAGTTATAAACCTCTTGGTTCATAAGGAAATTGTTATTTATAAATAAAAGGTTTTGTTTACTATGAAGAAATAAATAAATCCCTCTTACGAAGTCAAAGATTTTCAGCCAGTACATTACTATATATGCAACTGGAATCTAAACTGTTTCTGAAGCAAAAGCAAGTTAATGTTAACTATTTTAATATTATATCCTGGTTGATATCGTCAGGTTACCAGTTTTGTGTGAAGCAGAGACCCACATGACGATATTATTATGGCCCTGCTGCAGGGAAGTGTGGAGTCTTAATCACTGGGCTGCCAGGGAAGTCCCATCCATATTATTACCAATCTGGATATTGATTGAAGTTAGCTAAGCCTTATCTTATCAGATATCAGAGGTTAAGGAAGTTCTGCTTACAGGTATGACAGATCTTAAGGGATAACTTAAGATCGTTAAGAAAACTGAGGGTATAAATATAACAGATTTGGTCATTCAAACAAGTTACATTCTTCTCTGAATGGATTTTTTTTCTTTTTTTTTAAAGAATTAGTTTACTGGGAATTCCCTGGCAGTCCAGTGGTTAGGACTCCACACTTCCACTGTAGGGGGCATGGGTATGATCCCTGGTCAAGGAACTAAGATCTGCATGCCCCACGGCCCAGCCAAAAAAAAAGAATTAATTTATCAACTGAGCCCTGAGCCCTATTACTTGTTAGGCATTAGGCTAAGTGCTGGAAATACAAAGATGAGTAAGAATATTCTTGCCCTAAAGGATTTCACTATCTAATGGGAAGATATAGATAAACTGCTAGATACAATACAATGAGGCATGAACCTACACCTGTGAGAGGGTTGAGTCCTGGAACGGCATTATTCATCCTTCTGGCCTGACTTCCAAACGAACGTTTACTTTCTACTTTAAACCCAAATCTCCTTGATTATTTTTAAATTTTTTGTTCCTATGTACCCTTCACCCAGTTTTCCCCTAATGTTGACATCAAAACTAAGAAATTAACATTCATACACTGTTGTAGTAAGTTGTGCCCTTTTTGTCCCCAATCTGAGAATTCCTCAGGCTTGCCTTGACTTTCAGAAACTGGACACTTAAAAAAAAAATTTACACAGTTTTTAAAGATTACACTCCATTTACATATATTACAAAATATTGACTTTATTCCCCATCTTTTTTTTTCTTTTTTTTTTTTTTTTTTTCGTAAGTGGGGCTTCTTACTGTTTTGGCAGCCATGGCTCACAGGCCCAGCCGCTCTGCGGCATGTGGGATCTTCCCGGACCGGGGCACGAGCCCGTGTCCACTGCATCAGCAGGCGGACTCTCAACCACTGCACCACCAGGGAAGCCCGGTACTGCTTTTAAATTGAAAAATAAATCCTTTTTCTAGTAAATACTAAAGCCTTGCCCTAAGGTGAAATGAAGGGAAGAACATAATAAGTTCATCTCAGTAGAGGTTTGTTACTGAAGTATCCATAGGATGTTGTTAAAAGGTAATTGCTCTACAGCAAAAGCTTGAGAAGGGGATTCTAAATTTTTATGAGACTCAGTGGATGCCAGGGCTTGTGGTTGGTTGGTTGTTTAACCACTATATTGAGATTTCCCATTCAGAAGCAGTTTATAATTAACAAAGCAAAGGTTGAGAAGACTTTTTTGGGCTTGTTTTAGATTTTGCATCTTTTAGAATCAGGGAAAGGGGGCCAAGATAAAATTACATTTCTGTTTTGTGAAAAGTAATAAAAGAACTCATGGACAGAAATGGTATTTCACTGAAAGGTTGAATGTTGTTTTTTTTACATAACTATTTGGTGTATAGTAAACCAGAGTACCTATTCATGAAAAAGCCAAAGGGGAAAATGCCTTAAAAAATATTATAGATACTGAATAAACGGGGATCAGTGAAGTTTACCCAGGCCTCCCCTAAAAGCCAGGATTCTAATTCCTCTTCAACGAATTATCTTCCCATCCAAAACCTCGGCTGCTCCCCTGCCCCCCCAACCCCCCCCTCAATAAGGGGGCCTGTATTCCTTCCTGAATACCAAGTGAGCCATTCAGCGCTTAACTCCACAAGTAACACAGAGTCCTGGCAAATTACGTGGTAGGTACACATAGGAACAGGATACAGAATAAGTAAACATGAACAGGATACAGCTCTCTTGCGAAAAACAATTTTTAAGCCAATATTTAACAAATGTTACCCCCTAATGAAGCACATTTATCGGTTTTTCACAAACATTTGTTTTGTTTTAATACAAGTTCAACGCACACTTTTATCGTTTGCAGACGTTTTATTCACTTTTACTTTAGCATTTGAGTTGCTTTGTTCTATTTAAATTCCTCCAGTTTTAAAGTGCCCCTAGATAATTTTATAACAATGTTTCCAATTAAGAAGAGAAAAGGCTGCATTAAGTGTATCAAGGGTCAGCTTTGAAAAGATACTTTGGTTTTGCTGCTATGTTGAAGGAAAATGCTTGTATAAATCTATTAAGCAGTTAAGTACTAGGTAAAATGGTGCTTGCTTCTGATTTCTTAGAGCTCCTTTGTTTTCTTCGCCATTAAGCTTATTCTGGGTTCGAAACAGGGTCTGCTCGGAAGATAATGATGCGTGTGGTGGTAATGAAAAAAAAAGAAAAGGAATTTTAGAAATGCCTAGGGAAAAACTTTTAATGATTTTTGTGCAACCATTGTGGGTTGTTGCTTTTTGTTTCTTGAAAGCTCCGAAATCTCTCACACCAGGTGTTCCTCTTTCCACTACTTGGAGCCGTCCCACCGGGATTCCACCTGTCTCCCCTTTCAGCTCCCGAAGTTTCCTTTCTCGAAGGCGTAGGCGGCATTTCTCCTCGAGTGGATTCAACTGGCTTTTCCCGGAGGCCCGGCTCCACGTGACCTCCCCTAACACCTGTACAGCCACCAGCTCACAGCGCCCCCATCCTCTCCGCCAGGTACAGACCCGGCTTGGCTCCTCCTCCCCCAGGAGGTCACGGTCCGGGTGCGAGCCTCGCTCGGGCCGTCAGGGGAGGGGCTGAGCTACGGCCCCGCAGCCGCTGGAGCCCTTGCAGCCGTATTATCACATGACTCGACGGCGGCGGTAGCCTTGGCAGCAGCTGCGCCGGCTCCGCGGGCTCGCCGGGTGGGCTCAGTTCCGCTCACGCAGGAGTCGAGCGCAGCAGGCGGGGAAGGGACCTGCTGAAGCTGCGGCCGCCCAGCCGCTCCCGGAGCGCTCGGCATCTCCCCCGGCCCGGCCGGCCCGCTCCATGCCGCTCCATTGCGGAAGTGTAGCGGGGGGAGGGGGCGGCGGCGGCGGCACGGAGCGCGGGAGGCCGGAGCTCGGCCCCTTGCAGCACTAGGCTCTGGGAGCAGCGCGGCGCGCCCACCGGCCCGGCTGCCCGTGCGCCCGCCGCAGCCTGCATGCCCCGCGCTGCGCCTCGCCCGGCCCCAGCCGCCGCCCACTGCTCGCACCGCTGCTGCCGGGCGCCGGAGTAATATGCTCACTCGAGTGAAATCTGCCGTGGCCAATTTCATGGGCGGCATCATGGCTGGCAGCTCAGGCTCCGAGCACGGCGGCGGCGGCTGCGGAGGCTCGGACCTGCCCCTGCGCTTCCCCTATGGGCGACCCGAGTTCCTGGGGCTGTCGCAGGACGAGGTGGAGTGCAGCGCCGACCACATCGCCCGCCCCATCCTCATTCTCAAGGAGACCCGGCGGCTGCCCTGGGCCACTGGCTACGCAGAGTGAGTGCGGCGACACCCCTGCTCTCCTCGCGGCCCTTCCCCGCACGCTTCCAGCCCTCCTCTCTCCTTGTTCCTCGGCCCCAGGGCCCTCCGCTGGCCGCTGGCGTCCAGGCCTCGGCGGGCACCTCTTTACTGACACTGACCATTTCTCTCTTCTCCCACTCCCCTTTCCCCCAACCCCGAGGGCGCGGCGTCTCCAGCCCGGGTTTGGGTGGTAGATGGGTGGGTGGCAGCGCTGGACCGTGGGAAAGCTAAGGCTGGACGCGGCTGTGAATCTGGTGGCTGTGACACTTGGAAGAAAGAGCGTGGAACAGCTCTGCTGAAGTTTGAAACACAGAAGGGAAATCTGGTGTCTGTGCTCCCATTACCCCCAAATCTTTGTGCCTCCGCGTGAAGTTTGTGAGGTAGACCTTGGAGGAACTGTCCCTGCGCCAGGGTTTGCGGGGTGGGGCGGTTGTCCGAGCCCTGGAAGCGGCCGCGGCCGCGTGCTTGGTTGCACAGTTCAGAAGGTCTCAGTTTCTCTGATTTCAGCCTAAGAGCTCATTCGCTTGTCCTTTAGCAGGTAGGAAAACCCTGCGCCTTTAGTAAACGCCAATACTGTTTCCCCCTGTCCTTGGGGAGGGGGAAATTTCTTCCAGGTGTCTAATGATAGCATTTTGGTAATCAGTTTTGGCAATTAAGCGAGAGTTTGAGTGATCTACTATTTCAAGAACCGGTTGAGTTAGGTTGACGACCTGGAGTGGAACTGGGAAAGGAGAGAGGAAGGATTTTAATGGCCTTCCCCCAACCCTACGGCTACTCTTCCATTTACCACTAATGACCGTTCTATGAACGTTAGGGTAATGTTTCTTCCCCTATTCAGCGTTATGAAACTGGGAAACTCGGAAGGTGGAATTTTGCAGACCAGAGTTCCGGGATTAATAATGACCAGGTGGGTGTGCAAAAGTGCACGCAAACCCTTGGTGCCTGGCACACCTGCCCCTTTTCCTTTAACTTCATACGCTCTGTTATCTTGGCCCTCCCTTACCAATGCACAGCCTCGCCCGCTGATTGGTTCATCGGGGAACCAATCAGCTCTCCCGACGCCTGGGCGCTTCGATGCAGATCCTGTTCTGGTGGCCCGGATACCCCCGAGCAGGCCTGGTTCCCGACGCTCCGGGTTCCCGGGTAAGGGTTGGTTTGGGAGACGCTCTTCCTAGAATCTCGAATTCTCTTTTCCTTTGCCTTTCATCATACAACCATTTCTCCACCGGCTGAAATAGAAAAAATATATAATTGGGGATAGATGACTGGAGTGTGTAAAAACAGTGAGGACACAGAAGTGAGAGTGATGGGTGCTAAAACAATAAAATTTAACACATAATAAAGGGCAAAGCATGGTAGAGAACGGTGAGGTTGGGGAGGTAGAAAATATCAGTATACGTTTCAGGAGAAAGCCAAAGCAAAAACACCTGTGTGAGGGAAAAGTGCCTGCCAAAACACCAAGTACTGTTTCTCGATTGAAAAAAAAAAAGTTTAAACGACCGTTTGGACCTTTGCAAGGCCAAAGGCAACTTGGAGGCATACGGTGTCCTACAATTCTGTAGGTGGGGGACCTCGTGCCTGTCAAAAACCTAAATGTGTAGGGCCCATTGTCACTCCAGTGGGTTCCCCAGGGCAAGGGCACCTATCTGAAGGGCAGAGAGATAAGAAGAAAGATGTTTAAAACACAGAATGTGGAAGCTACTTGGACACGTAAAAGGAGTACCTCAGTTAGCAGGAAGGAAAGGAAAGGGGAAAAAAACAACCCGTTTCCAGATGTTTGGATCCTATGACAAGCACACGATGTGCCAAGGGCTGTAAAGAATATAAGGGAATCTGAAATGAGACGTGTGGGAGGGGTAGTTAGCTTCCTTATCTCTAAGAAGCTTATCTTACCCTAGACTAGGACATGAGGGAGGTTCAGTTGTAGGTTAGAAAGGCCACTGTAAGATGTTTAATTATTAAAGCTAGTTATAAAAGTAGTACATACTTGTTAATTCAAGCAAAGACCTGTATACAAATGTTGTCATGTCACTTCCCTCTGTCAGATGTTGTACTGTACCACTTCCTCAAACTTTGAACTATAGTTTATCTTCCTGCAAAAATACATCCTGAATGATCAAAATGGCTGAAATAGGGAAGATGAGAGACAGACAAGTAGGAACTGTGGTTATGGTCAGAGGCCACTTCCAGTAATACTGCCCAGGATATACTGGGAGGAGGAATTCTGTTTGTTCTGGAACGTACCTTAGAGGGATAGAATTGGTAGGAAGATTGCTCAGAGTGGGGATCAGAGGGGTGCTCAGAGTCACAGCTTGAATCAGAAGCGGTTTGTTTACCTTTCCAGAAAGTGAGCTACTTTCTAAGCCTTCCTGGGGAGGAAGAATTGGCATCACTTGGTGACTGAGGAGTTAGAGGAGAGTTGAACTCTAGTGTTGTTGAACTTTTGGATGGTAGGGAAAAAAAAAAGGTGAGGGCTTCCCTGGTGGCACAGTGGTTGAGAATCTGCCTGCTAATGCAGGGGACATGGGTTCGAGCCCTGGTCTGGGAGGATCCCACATGCCGCGGAGCAACTAGGCCCGTGAGCCACAACTACTGAGCCTGCACGTCTGGAGCCTGTGCTCCGCAACAAGAGAGGCCGCGATAGTGAGAGGCCCGCGCACCGCGATGAAGAGTGGCCCCCGCTTGCCACAACTAGAGAAAGCCCTCGCACAGAAACGAAGACCCAACACAGCAAAAATTAATTAATTACTAAACTCCTATCCCGAACATCTTAAAAAAAAAGGTCTATTTTTTGCAACATATTGTTAATCCCTTTAAGAAGGAGATACTCTGTAGGTTATAGAACTAGAGAATTAGCTTAAGTGATCCCTGTAAGATTTGGGGATCCAGAAACAGAAGTCCCTCATTTATTCAGTATTTATTGGCATTGTGCGAGGTGGAATTTCCTGCTCCTCAGAAAGCCTCCTATTGTGGCTGAGAAGTTGCCATTTGATTCAGGGCTGTATGCTAGGTTGTAAAGCATTGTAGTTACAGATAACATCTACCAAGCTAAAATCTTTCCAAAAACATTGATTAGCAAGTTTTATTTTTTAGTTTGGTGTTGAATCACTGACTTAGCCTGTTAGACCTGATCAGAGAGAGCCCATGGGAAACAATAGTCTGACCCAGAGACCTCACATGGTAGCTGCTTCCTTTCTTTTCCACAAGTTTAAATAACCACCCAAGTGCTTCAAGGACCTGGAAGTCAGTTCAGTTTTTAATAGGTTAGAAGTGCATTTTGACTTTTCTTCTTGACCTTTTACCCAACCTCTTTCCCACTGATGGTCAGTTGGATGTAGTGGATGTGGAGTTTGTGCCTGAAATACGACAGTAGATAATGCAGAGAATATGCAGTGCTCTGTATATGAAAGCATCATATTCAAGTTTTATCAGTGGTAAATTTCTTTGCTTGTACAGAAAGAATAAATCATAATTATAGTATTATCTTATTTAGATTATAGCTGTAACTATGCAATTTTTTTCCTATTACCTTTCTTATAAAAGTGCCCCAGACATGGGTATTTAAAGAAAGCTACTTTGAGAGTTTCTGTTAAATGTGCATTATATAAGTTCTTTCTGCCTCACGTAGTTCAAGATTGTGAAAATTTTGTTGAAATTTAACCTTATTTAAATCCAGCAAATGGCCCACAAGTATTTGGATTTATTTTGGAATCTATAGGCTCTTCCATCTCCCCAGTCATTGGCACTAATTAGCAATTACGAATAAATTGCATTAGTTGGCTGTGTATTGTTTTTTTTAACATCTTTATTGGAGTATAATTGCTTTACAATGGTGTGTTAGTTTCTGCTTTATAACAAAGTGCATCAGTTATACATATACATATGTTCCCATATCTCTTCCCTCTTTCGCCTCCCTCCCACCCTCCCTATCCCACCCCTCTAGGTGGTCACAAACCACCTAGCTGATCTCCCTGTGCTATGCGGCTGCTTCCCACTAGCTATCTGTTTTACGTTTGGTAGTGTATGTATGTCGATGCCACTCTCTCACTTCGTCCCAGCTTACCCTTCCCCCTCCCTGTGTCTTCAAGCCCATTCTCTAGTAGGTCTGTGTCTTTATTCCCATTCTCTAGTAAGTCTGTGTCTTTATTCCCATCTTACCCCTAGGTTCTTCATGACATTTTTTTTTCTTAGATTCCATATATATGTGTTAGCATATGGTATTTGTCTTTCTCTGTCTGACTTACTTCACTCTGTATGCAGCTCAATAACAAAAAAAAAAAAACAACCCAATCCAAAAATGGGCTGTGTATTGCTGATAGCAGAGAAACCACTATTTCTCCCTGACCGCAAAGCTCAGAAATCCCCTGCCCTTTGTTTTTCCCTTCTGGCCTCTAGTACACCCACCCCTCTTACACCTAGTAGCAGAGCTCCTCCCTGGGAACTCCCTCTTTGACTTTTGCAACTGAAGAACCTTGAGGTTCTCCACTTCTTGTTGGATAAGGAGGAAAAGAAATGAGTGGGGTGTGGTGTTAGGGGGCTTTCACTTAACGGAGCTCTCCATAGCACTTTTCTGCAGATCCGTGCAGAGTAGCCTAAAATATTTCGTCTACCTTTCTACTAACCTGCAGAAGGTATTAATTTCCTATTTTAAAGCAGGTGGCTAAGCTCTCCTCCATTTTTCAGATTATAATGAAGTCATCCCCTCAGGGGTGGAGCTCCTGGGCTGTCCTTTTTCTTAGAAACATGGATCAGCTTCCTTCAAAGACTAGTGATGCTTCAGGTAGAGGATTTAATTATCGTGAGGGGTTGTGTTTATCCTGTGTTGCAGCCCCAGTTACATAGACATCGTCTCTGATTTTGACCCACCACACAATGCTTCCTTATTATATCAACAGTTACATCCATACCGACTGATAACTTAAAACTGACTGCATGATAGAATTGTTTTCTAAAAATGTATAATGTTATTGAAGATA